GTAGGGAAATTCAGTCTTCTCCCTGCTACCTTTAAACTCTGGGGTAATTGGGAAGGAGGGTTAGCATGACTGCAGGAGGCAGAGATGAAGTCAGCTGAGGTGGGTGGTGCTGCCACAGCTCTTGTCCTTGCCTCAGAACACAGCACCCACCACCACCAGGTCACTTCTTGCAGATCATTCAGGCTCTGCATCTTGCAATTTGTAAATTTTAGATGGAAAAATACCACAAGAATAAAGCACAAAGAAAGAATCATAGGATGGTTAAGGTTGGAAGGAACCTTCAAGATCATCAGGTTCCAACCCCCCTGCATGGGCAGGGACACCTCCCACCAGCCCAGGTTGCTCCAAGCCCCATCCAACCTGCCCTTCAACACTGCCAGGGATGGGGCAGCCACAGCTTCTCTGGGCAATCTGTTCCAGTGCCTTCCTACCCTCATGAGGAAGAATTTCCTCCTGATGTCTAACCTAGATCTTCCCTCTTCCAGTTTAAAACCATCACCCCTTATCTTATCCCTGCCTTCTCTGGTGAAACCCCTTCAGAAAGAAAGTACCACCTTGCTCATCTTTTTAGACACTAATTTGGCTAAAGTGTTTCCTCCTCCTCTCAACTTCTCCAACTCTTAAACCAGTCACAAATAACATGATACTGTTGTTACTCCCTTTTCCCAGGCAGAAGGGAATGGAGCTGCAGCTGCCCACCCAAAGTGCAATGTCTGGGATTCTGCCCCCCAGCAGGGAGGGCCTGTCCCTCTAACCCTCCTTTTCCCTTTCTAACCTTTCCAGCCTGTGACAAGAGAAGCTGCAGATAAGCCAGTTGTGCATCACTTGGTGGTCACAGCTACCTGAATATATGGGTAGTTAGAAATATGTAGTCAACTGTGGTGGTGAGTTGACCCTGGCTGGACACCACGTGCCTCTGAAAGCCACCCCATCACTCCTCTCAGCAGGACACTGGGAGAAAAGTGTGACAAAAAGGCTTGTGGGTTGAGATATGGGCAGGGTGAGATCACTCACCAGTTACCATCATGGACAAAACAAAACTTTTACTTGGGGAAATGAATTTAATTTATATACCTATCAAACCAGAATTTGGTGGTGAGAAATAAAACCAAACCTTAAAACACCTTCTCCCCCACCCTTCCCTTCTTCCTGGGCTCAACTTTAGACTGGATATTAGGAAAAGAGGAGGCTACTGATGGTCAGGCACTGGAAGGGGCTGCCCAGGGAGGTGGTGTAGTCACCATCCCTGGAGGGATTTACTGACATGGCAGGTCAGGAAGTGCTTGTTGGTTTTGTCCTGGTGTTTCATTTGTTTGCTCTCCTCCTGGGCCGGGTGATGTGTGTGTGTGCGGGATCCACCGCCCCCTGGCTGCGGGATCACAGCCTGAGCAGACACTGCTGGGCCCGCGGGGGGCAGCCCTCGTACTCCTCCAGCTGCGGGTCATCCAGGTCGCCCCTGTCGGGGTGCTGGGCAGAGGGGGGGTGGCCCCAGGGGGGACCCTCCGTCCTCACACACACGCAGTGGCTGCCCCTGGCGCCAGGTCGGTAGAGCTGCCGGGGAACTCCAGCCCAGGCTCTGCTCACTCCCCCACTACGGGTGGAAAATGAAGAAGAAATCACAATTCCAAGCCATGAAAAAAACACTTCCAGCCCGTTGAGAATCGTTAGATAAAAGCCAAGACAACGTGGGAGAGTCAGAACCATGAGGGCACCCACTGAGGTGCTCCCAAAAGCTTTCTGGTCCCTTTTCATGACTGTGCTTCAGAAACCTGTGGCCTCAGCCTGGTTTCACCAGGGTTGCCACATCCCCTTACCCTGCTGGGAGCCCCCAAGGCCTGCTTCTCATGTTTCTGTTGCTGGAAAAGGAATCTCAGCCTTCTTGGAGCACAGGGTAGCCAAGGGCAAAATGCCTTGCTGGGGGTATGTGATTGCTCACCCACACCCACCCACCTCCCTCCTGTGCCATGTCATAGAATCTTAGGGGCTGGAAGGGACCTCGAAAGATCATCTAGTCCAACCCCCCTGCCAGAGCAGGGTCACCTAGAGTACATCACACAGGAACTCATCACATAAGGAACAACTCATAGCAAATATATTCATACCTGTGTTTCGTGTTTCAGCCACAAGGCTGATTTGTGTCCTATTGGTTGAACTAATAAGTACTAATGTATTCTATAGGTAAATCTATTGATTCAAAGGCACTTGGAAATATTGGTTTCTCAATTAATAAATGGCTGTGCACAGCAGCTTGATTTGAATTAGGCTGCAAAATTAAAATGATCCTCAATAATCAGGACTTTTTGTATTTTTAAGAATTCTTTTCTCAGTCTTGAATTTAATATTAATTTTTGTGTCCTTGATTGTTAAGCTTTGTTTTCAAGTGCCAAACATAGTGAGGCTGTTAAGAAATATCACTTAACTTTCAAATTGTCTTGTCTGTTTTGTCCTCATTGACATTTTACTCTCCTTTTGTAGATTAAATCTAAGATGTAAAAGGGTATTAAAATAATATTTTTTTTCATTATTCTATCAAAGCACGCATTATTTTTGAGAAAATAAAAAAGGCTAATTCATTGCTGTTGTTATGTGATACAGCACACCAGTTCCATATATGCCGAAGAGCAAAGAGGGTATCTTGTTTGTCAAAAGCTAAATAAATATTCAAATCAGATCAAGGTTCAGAGAAGTTGGTAGCAGACACAAATGTCTATTGATGCTGGAGCCTTCATCTCTTTCTGTTCATATTTTCCATCATAGCTGTCCTGAATCCATACCAAAGTCATACCCACTTTACATTCTGTTCACTGCCTTTTTTTCCACAACTTCATGAAAATCCCTGAAGCAGCATGGTTCACATTAAGAGGAAATTCCACAAATGAAACATGAGAAATGAATCTGCTTTGGAGGTAGAAGTTCTAGAATATACAGAGATGAGAATTCATTGCAACTGCAACATTTTATTGCAAGGGTAAGCAAAGTGAGGATAAGAAGTTACAAAAAAAAATATATTGGATATGCAAAGTTCAGTAGTAATATAATTTCATAATAGATAATGAAAAAAATAATTATTTAGCTACTTCAGAGAAAAAGAGAAGATAAAAGGGAAGGTAAGAGCTCTAATTATCAGAAAGTAAATACACTAGAGGGGAGGAAAAGTGGAATTTCTAAGTACTTGCTCTGCTTCAGTTCACTCAAAACAACTCTTCTGTGAAATGATTAATTATGCTGGGAGTAGATGAACAACATAAGAGAAGAGACATCAACACCGTAAAGAGCAAGTGAGAAATTACCTGGACTGAATTAATGTTTTGAATCAGCAAGGCCAGATTAAATCCATCAGAGAGTACTAAAGGAATTAGCCAATGAGGTTTCATAGTCCATGGCAAATGATTTTACAGAACTCCAAGGAGATCCTAGGGTTGCAGATTAGAAGCCTGACATCCATTATAGGAAACATACCAGCTAAAAAGAGATGTAACATGAATAAAAGTATTATTAGTGCTAGAATGATGTTAAGGCACAGAGCAAAACAAATGTTAGCGTTTAAAAAGGACTTATATATTAGACAGAAGTGTCGTATATATGATATCTTTTGCCAAATAAGCATATTTACTACACTAATTCAAGGTATTGTAAGGTACAACCTGTAGAAAAGAAAAATCTAGGTTACCATAGCTCACTGAAACCAGATAGCATCTACACCAAATATTACCGAAACATTTCAGAAAGCAGAAAACCAAAGATGATTGCTCAATAAGGACTCTACGAACTTCATAGTTCTAGTAATCCTTAATAAACCCACACTTAATCCCCAGTCCATTAACTGTTGGCCTAGCTTAAATCCCTCTTTCCTCATAATTGATACTTCTTAACTTGTAAGATTCACATCTCAAAATCAGAAGTCAAAGTAGAAAACTAGTATGACTTATAACTTTTAAGTTTATACTGCTGGGCTCATCTACAGCCTCTTGAACATTAGATACAGATAAATCACCCATAAAGCAAAAAAGTAGATACTAAGTCACTCTCCTGAACAGAAGTCAGTTAATGGTGACAGATAAATGTTGCCATCTACAAAAAGTTTTCACCTCCAGTGTTCCCCCAGATTACCTTCTCTGTTTCTCTTCCAAATCTATCAGTCCACTGATAGCAACATGCCTTGGTCTTTGTTTCCAACATTAGACCAAATGTATAACTTATAGAATCATAGAATCATAGAATCATAGAATCTTAGGGGCTGGAAGGGACCTCGAGAGATCATCTAGTCCAACCCCCCTGCCAGAGCAGGGTCACCTAGAGTACATCACACAGGAACTCATCCAGGTGGGTTTTGAATGTCTCCAGTGAGGGAGACTCCACAACCTCCCTGGGCAGTCTGTTCCAGTGCTCTGTCACTCTTACAGTAAAAAATTTTTTTCGGATATTCACCTTGAACTTCCTATGCTCCAATTTACACCCATTACCCCTTGTCCTATCACTGGTCATCACTGAGAAAAGCCTAACTCCGTCCCCCTGACACTCACCCCTTACATATTTGTAAACATTGATGAGGTCACCCCTCAGTCTCCTTTTCTCCAAGCTAAAGAGACCCAGCTCCCTCAGCCTTTCCTCATAAGGGAGATGTTCCACTCCCCTAATCATCTTCGTAGCTCTGCGCTGGACTCTTTCGAGCAGTTCCCTGTCCTTTTTGAACTGAGGGGCCCAGAACTGGACACAATACTCCAGATGTGGCCTCACCAATGCAGAATAGAGGGGGAGGAGAACCTCTCTTGACCTACTAACCACACCCTTTCTAATGCACCCCAGGATGCCATTGGCCTTCTTGGCCACAAGGGCACATTGCTGGCTCATGGTCATCCTCCTGTCTACCAGGACCCCCAGGTCTCTTTCACCTACACTACTCTCCAGCAGTTCAGCCCCCAACCTGTACTGGGACATGGTGTTGTTCTTCCCCAAATGTAAAACTCTGCACTTCCCCTTGTTGAATTTCATCATGTTTCTCCCCGCCCAACTCTCCAACCTATCTAAGTCTCTCTGAATGGCAGCACAGCCTTCTGGTGTGTCAGCCACTCCTCCCAGCTTAGTGTCATCAGCAAACTTGCTGAGGGTACATTCTATACCCTCATCCAGGTCGTTGATGAAGATGTTGAACAACACCGGTCCCAGTACCGACCCCTGTGGGACTCCACTAGTCACACACCTCCAACCAGATTCTGCCCCATTGACTACAACTCTCTGACTCCTTCCTTTCAACCAGTTCCTAATCCACCTCACTTCCTGATCACCAAACCCATACCTGATCAACTTTTCTACAAGGATGCTGTGGGAGACGGTGTCAAATGCTTTACTGAAATCAAGATAAACCACATCTACCGCTCTACCATCATCTATCCACCTAGTAATTTCCTCATAGAAGGCTATGAGGTTAGTCAAACATGATTTACCCTTGATAAAACCATGCTGACTGCTCTTGATGACCCCCATGTCCTTGATATGCCTGGAGATAGTCACAAGAACAAGTTGTTCCATCACCTTTCCAGGGATGGAGGTGAGGCTGACCGGTCTATAGTTACCCGGGTCCTCCTTCTTGTAGACTGGTGTGACATTTGCTATCCTCCAGTCCTCAGGCACCTCTCCTGTTGCCCATGACTTACTGAAGATGATGGAGAGTGGCCTAGCAATGACCTCCGCCAGCTCCCTCAGCACCCTTGGGTCTGAGCACAGTGACGTGGAGAACTTGGACAAAAGGGGATAAAACCCAATCTCAGTAACTTCCACAACTACTTCACAGCATCTCTTTCTGGACCAGTCCTGCCTGCTCCCCAAACTACTGCATCTTTTAAGCCTGTAAACTCTTACACAAGAGAGCAGCCCACAACAGCCAGTTCCCAGGCTGCACCCCAGCTTGTTCAGGCACAGAAGTGGATCCCCCAAGGTGCACCCAAGCAGTTTGCAGTGTGGCCTGTGAAATGGTTTCACCTGAAAACCCTAAACTGAGAGAGGAACACAACTAACCAGGCCAAGTAGGAAATTACTACTCAAAGCTCAACCTGGTTTTGATGTGGTTTGAAGTGAAACCTGTTGTAGCAATAGCCTGAAACAGGCTGGGAGGCTCCTGAAAAACAGGAGCTAATCCCTGCATTCCTGATGGGTCAGAAAACCTGCTCAAATGCAGCAGAAGGTCCTAGTGGGGTTTCTGTCTTGTTTTCCTGAGAGCAGGAGGATCCTGTGCACATGTGGCAGCTGCTGAAACCTGATTTTGATTCCAGAGGGCCATAGAGAGTTTTTGTCTCAGAAACAAAATTCCTAAAAGTATTGGTGATCGGGGTGAAACTTTATTTTCCTTTAACCACTCACCAGGTCAGGAAGCAGACCCTGCTCCCCCCTGCCTCAGGTTCCTGATGCTGGAGAACATTTTTCACTCACCCAACCTACCCCTCTGTGCTACTCCAGACTGGGCTGGGGCTGCCAGCATTTGCTGGACTGGCAGAGAAAATCTAGGGACAACAATTCCCACAGCAGCTAAACCTGGCACAGGGAGAACAGGCCCCCTGCTCCTTGCAGGTTGTCTCTGCCCCTGTCAGAAAGCACAGCCTGAGGGATCAGACAGGAGAAGGGACCTCCTCCTGTGTCCCTCCTACTAGGAGAGGCAATGGCAAAGCTCAGGGCAACCAAAAAAAGAGGGCAGAAATGTTCTGCTCCAAAGGGATCAAACCTGAAGGCAGGAAGGTGGGATTTACCTCTGTGTGGAGCACCAGAACCGGGTGCCCCCTGCAGAGCTCCATTCAGAGTTGCAGGGGGGAAACTGCTGCTTCATGTCCTCACTTTCTGCTTGGAACTTCAGAGCCTCCTCGATGGCAGCCTCAGCCTGCCTCAAGGCTTCTGTTGGTGCCCCATCTTCATCATAGAATCTGCCCACCAGCTTCCCTGGGAGAGAAGAAGGTGGGAAATGAAGAGCACAGCGTTTCCAGGGAAGGAAAATGAATCGTTTGGGATTGTTTTAAACTGAATTGACATCCTTTCCATTCCTGGGTCACACAACAATTTACCCACCCAAGAAATCCCTCCAGGACAAGCTCAGGCACAGCCTCATGAAAGATCACAAAGTCAGTGCCACTTTCACCTGCAGAACCCAGAAGCCTTTCCCACCCATGTACCTCATTCCCTTGAACAGTTTCCCTGCACTCCTGCTCCTACAGTCTCCTGAATCCTGCTAATTTCAGTACTTGCAGAGCTGGCTCCTGTCTTTTGCTCAGCAGAGACAAAAGCAGAACAGCCCAGGGGAAGGAAAACTGCTAAGCTTTGCCTGAGAGGAAAGAGAACCTCCAGCTGGGTCTGATTTAGCAGAACCTCCAGCTGATCACTCACAGGTTTCAGGACACTGGTCTCCAGCAGTCACAGGGGGCAGACCCTCACCACGGTGGACATCTTGTAGGTGAATCCCACTCAATCACTGAATCCCGGGGGTTGGAAGGGACCTGGAAAGCTCCCCCAGCCCACCCCCCCTGCCAGAGCAGGGGCACCCAGAGCACATCACACAGGAACGTGGCCAGGGGGGTTGGAATGTCTCCAGAGAAGGAGACTCCACAGCCTCTCTGGGCAGCCTGGCCCAGGGCTCTGGCACTCTCACAGCAAACAAGTTCTTCCTGAGATTCACATGGAACCTCCTGGGCTCCAGTTTGCACCCACTGCCCCTTGTCCTGTCACTGGACATCACTGAACAAAGCCTGGCTCTGTCCTCCTGAAACATGGTCCTCTCCAGACCTGCACCCCCCGAGGTGCCACCCTCACCCCCCCATCCCCTGCAGACCCACCCACCCACGGGCTCGTAGCTGTCCCGGTAGAAGCCCAGCCCGCTCCGCAGGGCTGACA